GTCTCCGCAGTCAAATTTATGTAAAATGTAAGGTCATGTTTTAGTTACTGTGTGGAGGGACTGGCTGCCTGTTCCGCTCCGTCAGAGGCCGACGGATTCCTAAGATAACATGGACACCTGTCAGGAGATTAACAGCTCTGCTGCCGGGGGAAACAGAAAGTCGGCGTGGCAGAAGACATCTTGCTTCATTTCACATGTGCGGGTGTAATAACTGAGTGTATCTCTGTTTACACCTGTACCTGCTGGCTGCAGTACTCTGCACGTCAGGGATAATTAAAAGGACGATGAATTCAACTCCCGAGGCTACAGACTGGAGTGGTTTCTGCTTAGAGTGGATATCGGTAGTGCGCTCAGCATGACAGTGGATTTTATTAAATCTCTACCCCTCCCTTCTGCGTGTTGTCAACCAGTTGTTGTGATCTGATCCGGTCCTTTAAAGAGGTGTTTTGGATACCAGAAGGCAGACAGAGAATACGCCCTCCTCCTAAAGATTGATTGATATGTCGTCAGCCTTGTTCAGCTGATTTTTGTTTTCTTTTTTTCTGATTTTTTTGTATAAATAAATCCATACAAATATGATAATTAAACATTCTATGCACTAAATTTCATTCTCGGCACTCGCTTTCGATGCTGTTTTGCTTCGTGCTCCTATTAACATATTAAGATGCACAAATTCCTGCACACGTCGGATTCTTCCTTGCATCACTCCTCTGAACATGTCACCGTAGCTGACGCAAGACTGCTTGCACTGTGTTGCATTAACAGTGGTAAAGGCTTGCACCATACAAGTGTTGTGTAGTCTCTTGTATCCAGGAAACTTTGTTCGCGAGGCGTGAGGCCTGTTTTTATCCTTTGCACTTATGTGAGATCTTGGCATCCATCATGCACGAGAGACTTGTGCTTGTCTGCATGTGGAATCGTTTGGCTTTCTCTGTGTACAATAAGTATTAAGTGCTCCTCTCAACTGTAAATAACATAAGGTGGCTTGCAGTAATTGCGTCGTGCTGTTGGATTTGTGTCAGGGAACGCACTTAAGCCTCAAACAGACCTGCTGTTCTTAATTTCTACACGTAGAGACAAATGGAGGACACGTGTCCTGCAAAGGAAAACAATCACATTGACACACATGGAGAATATGTGCTCTTTCTCCAAATCATATGCCGTATGTAAACCTAGAGATGGACTTAACGACTGTCAGGCCGATTATGAATGCAGCTTGGAGGTGCTGGCTGATGAGGAGCAGTCCCACCAGATCTGTTCCAGTTGGGCTCAGCTGGTGTTTACATTCGGCAGATAACGCCGTGCGGTGTGTAAAGATTCTAGTCTGAATTCTTCGGAACCGGTCACTGCCAGATGTTCTCATTCAGATTTTTTTTAAAAACCTTGTTTAAAATTTGTAACTGACAGCCGCGATTTATGGCGTCACTGTTGCTTGGAAGATGCAAAACAAACACGAGAAGAGGAATGGCGCGCGAAAACGTTTGTGACATAGAAGTATCCCTGCAGAGCGTCCCCTCCTTGGATGGTCTTGCACATTTTGATGATGCTGTATACAAGCCGCATAGTGTTATGGTAAAAATAAAACCAGCTGTGATTGTTTGGCTCTCTGCGCTGCACAATTTCTTTCTTTCTTTGTTTTGTTTTTGCACACCACGTTTTCTTCCAATTGTCACTTATTTGAAAAAGTGGGACGATCCTCATCGAAGCACGTGATTTTTGTTTCCGGTTATGTCTGCTCTCTTGCATCTGAACGTAGTACATAAAATGTAAAGTCATGGGACATTTAACTGAAAGATGAAGGTGAAAAACTGGGGATAGGAGCAAGAGTGAAAGGGCTGCTATGATGTATGGTTTGGAGACAGTGGCGCTGACAAAAAGACAGGAGGTAGAGCCGGAGCTGAAGATGAAATGATTATCAATGAGTGTGAAAGAGACAGTTCGGGCAGAGCAGTTTGGAGACAAAGTTAGCGAGACAAGGCTGACATGTTGAGAGGAGAGAGAGTGGATATACTGGACCAAGGATGTTGATGATGGAGCTGCCAGGCAGGAGGAAAACAGGGAGCAGTCGAAGTCTACCAGCAGAATGATATTATCAGCCATGTGCAGTGCATAGTGGACTGCTTTAAGGGATTTCATGGTTATGCATTGGTTGCAGAGCTTTGCAGACAGTCGTCTACATGTTGTAGCTGTTTCCTGTCGCCCCCGCCCCCAAACCGGGCACGGCTGCCCCTCCCCGAGGCTGGTCCTGCTGGGAAGGAAAATGGTTTGATTGTTGGGGTTTTCTCCAGAACACTGCAGGGTCTTTATCATATAGTATAAAGCGCCTTGAGGTGATTGTTGGTGTTATTTAGATAAATATACCTGAAGTGAATTTTTACGCCATCTGTGTCACTCAATCTGCATATTTTGATCTTCAAGCATGTTTTGTGCTTCTTTTTCCAAATCCGCCCAAATTTCTGACTTGAATGTAAAATTTTCCCTGTAATTTTGTTACATAAGTAAAATTGTTACATTTGATTGAATCTGGTGAA